ATGATGTCCCCATGTCCCCCATGTCCCCGTGTCCCCAATGTCCCGTGTCCCCAATGTCCCCAATGTCCCCACAGAAGCTCGAGGGCTCCAAGAGCCGGGGGCAGCTCCTGATCTTCGGTGCCACCAACTGGGACCTGATCGGCCGCAAGGAGGTGCCCAAGCAGCAGGGTAGGGCTGCTAATTAACGGCTATTAATTACTCATTAACGCATTCGGGGGGCAGGGTAGGGCTGCTAATTAACGGCTATTAATTAGTCAATAATGAATGCGTGGGGCAGGGTAGGGCTGATAATTAACGGCTGTTAATTACTCATTAACGAATGCGGGGGGCAGGGTAGGGCTGATAATTAACAGCTATTAATTAGTCAATAATGAATGCGTGGGGCAGGGTAGGGCTGCTAATTAACGGCTATTAATTAGTCATTAACGAATGTGGGGGGCAGGGTAGGGCTGTTAATTAACGGCTGTTAATTAGTCATTAATGAATGCGGGGGGCAGGGTAAGGCTGCTAATTAACAGCCGTTAATTACTCATTAATGAATGTGTGGGGCAGAGTAGGGCTGCTAATTAACGGCTGTTAATTAGACATTAATGAATATGTGGGACAGGGTAGGGGCCCATTAATGGCTCATTAATTAATTGGTATTAATTAGGAATTAATGAATGGTTTGGGGCAGGGTAGGGCTGCTAATTAACAGCTGTTAATTAGTCATTAATGAATGTGTGGGGCAGGGTAGGGCTGATAATTAACGGCTGCTAATTAGTCATTAATTAATTTGGGGGGCAGGGTAGGGCTGATAATTAACGGCTGGTAATTAGTCATTAATGAATGTGTGGGGCAGGGTAGAGGCCCATTAATGGCTCATTAATTAATTGGCATTAATTAGGAATTAATGAATCAGGGTAGGGGTTCATTAATGGCTGTGATTAATATTAGTAATCAATGAACAGTTTGGGATAGGGTAAGGGATCATTATTGGCTAATTAATTTGGGTTAATTCATAATCAATGAATGTTTTGGGGCAGGGCAGGGCTGTGTTAATGGCTGGGATTAATTGTTATTAATTTGAAGTTAATTACTATTTAATAAATGTTTTGAGGCAGGGTTGAGGTCCTTAATAGCTGATGAACTAATTGGTATTAATTAGTAATTAATGAATGGTTTGGGACAAGGTAGGTGCTCGTTAATAGCTGTGATTAATTGGTATTAATTAGCAATCAATGAAGGGTTTGGGACAGGGTAGAAGCTCACTAATGCCTCTGATTAATTGGTATTAATTAGTAATCAATGTATGTTTTGGGACAGGATAGGGGCTCATTAATAGCTGTGATTAATTGGTGTTAATTAGTAATCAATGTATGTTTTGGGGCAGGGTAAGGGCCCTCATTAGCGGGTGATTATTGCTATTAATTATGTATGGGGGCAGAGCAGGTCCCTCATTAATGGTGGTGCAATTAATTGGTGTCAATTAGTAATTAATGACCTTGAGTGGCCAGAATTTGGGTCTCCAGCAGAGCCCAAAGCCCAGGGCTTGCCTTGGCTTTAATGATTTATAGTTTATTAATTTCCTGTTTATTTTATATGCTTCTAGTCAGTTAATTAATGAATTAATTAATTAATGGAGAGGGAGGCGCAGCTTTATCTCCCAATTTGGGGCGCGCTGGGTCTCCAGCAGAGCCAAATTAGGGCTTTGTTTATTTCTGATCCATTTATAGTTTGTTCATTTTGCTGATTGTTTTTATGTAGCTCTAATTAATTAATCAATTAACTGGGGGAGGAGCCCCTTAATTAGGGCAGGTTTGAGGGGGCGCCAGCTCTGCTGCAAAGCCAAATTAAGATTTTGCTCTTTTTGGATTCATTTCTAGCTCCTTACTATTTCTGCTTATTTCATTTAGCTATAATTAATAAATCATTATAATATATATTATTATATAATGATAATATAAAATAAATAAAACGTATAATCAATTATATAATATAAATATGTATTACTATATAATAATTTATATTATAATTTGCATTATTATATAAATTGTTATTATTGTTTCTATTTATCTTATTTCATCTACTTATAATAAATAAGTTATTATTATATAAATTATTATATAATTATATAGGTAATTAGTTATTATTGCATAATAATATATAAGTAAAAATATATAATTAATATTATAATATATATTTATATTGTAATGATTATATATATAATATATATTATAATTTACATTATTATATAAATTATTATTATTCATTTTATTTCTCTTATTTCATCTAGTTATAATTAATAAATTAATTAACTGGGGGAGGAGCGAGAGGTTCACCCCTTAATTAGGGCAGGTTTGAGGGGGCGCCAGCTCTGCCGCAAAGCCAAATTAAGCCTCTCTTCATTTTTAATTAATCAAAAATCAATTCATTAATTATTTCATTCTTCTTTGGGATATACTTAATATTAAAAT